ATTACTAATGACACAAGAGTTACACTGAATCGATAGTAATCAAAACAATACGGTAGTGGCAGAAAAACGAACACACAGATCAATGGAACAGAATCAAAAGCAGAGCAATGAGGCAAGTAAAATTTGCAATAACATTCTTCATATTAATAACATTAAAATTGTATGCTTTATTTTCTATTTTCAACAATAGAAACACAGCATCTTTCTGTTTGTTCTCTAGTGGTATTCATTGACTTTATTAATTTTAACTTGGGAGTGGAGGTCTCGAGAAAAATTGAGACTTGGAAAATGTTCAATTAAATAGTTTGATTAGGTATATTTACTATTGGAAGCCTTTAAATTACTGATTTCATTACTCGTATAGAAGTATCTTAAGAGAGGTTATGTTAACAATACAAGTGTGTGGCACTATTTACTTTATTTCACTGTAGAATCAGATTGGGGGGTATCGAAAATTGGGGATAGCTCAAACTGCTGTTTTTTATGCTTATCTCATATTACACCTGCCAGAATGGGAAAAATAAGATTAAAGCCTCCTGAGAGGCAGTAAAGTCTAATAGTTAAGAGCAGAGGTTTTGGTGCCAGACTCCTGGGTTTCAATTCTGCCACTTGCTAGCTGTGGGACCTTGGACAAGTCACACATCTCTCTCTTCCTCAATTTCTGTATCTGCAAAGTAGGATCAAGAATACACCAATACAAGAAGAACAAGCTGGAGGTATCACAATCCCACAAATTTCAAACTATACAACAAAACTATAGTAATCAAAATAGTATGGTACTGGCACAAAAATAGACACATAGATCAATAGAACAGGATAGAGAGCCCAGAAACAAACCCACATTTATAAGGTCAACTCATCTATGATAAAAGAGGCAAGAATATACAATGGGGAAAAGACAGTCTCTTCAATAAATGGTGCTGGGAAAACTGGATAGCTACATGCAAAAGAATAAAACTGGACCACTTTCTTACATCACACACAACAATAAACTCAAAATGGATTAAAGACCTAAATGTAAGACCTGAACACATAAAACTAAAAGAAAACATGGGTAGTAAACTCTCAGACATTGGCCTCAGTAATACAGTTGACCCTTAAACAACATGGGTTTGAACTGCACGGACCCCCTTCTATGTGGAGTTTCTACAGGACAGCAAGATTTTCTTTTCCTTAGCTTGTTTTATTTAAGAATACAGTATATACTACATATACAAAACATATTTTGATTGACTATGTTGTGAGTAAGGCTTTCAGTCAACAGTAGGCTATTAGTTAAATTTTTGAGGACAAAAGTTATACATGGATTTTTTATTGTCCAAGGGGTGGGTGCCCCTAACCCCCCTGTTGTTCAAAGGTCAGCTGTATTTTTCTACATGTGTATCCCCAGGCAAAGGAAACAAAAGCAAAAACAAACAATTGGGACTACATCAACTAAAAAGCTGCCTCTGCACAGTGAAGGAAACCATCAACAAAACTAACAGGCAACCAAATGAATGGGAGAAAATATTTACAAATGATATATCCAATAAGGAGTGAATATCCAAAATAGTAAAGAACTCATACAACTTAACGCCAAAAAACACAATCCATTTAAAATGGGCAGAGAACCTGAACAGACAATTTTCCAAAGACATACAGATGGCCAACAAACACATGAAAAGATGCTCAACATCACTTATCATCAGGGAAATGCAAATCAAAACATAATGCGATAATACCTCATGCCTGTCAGAATGACTAGTATGAAAAGGACGAGAAATAACAAGTGCTGGCAAGGATGTGGAAAAAAAGGAACCCTTGTGCGCCACTGGTGGGATTGTAAATTTGTGTAGTTGCTGTGGAAAACAGTATGGAGACAGAGGTTTCTCAACAAATTAAAAATAGAAATACCACATGATCTAGTAATTCCACTATTGGCTATTTATCCAAAGAAAACAAAAACACTAATTAGAAAAGATATATGAACCCCTCTGTTTTTTGCAGCATTATTTACAATAGGCAAGCTATGGAAACAACCCAATTGTCCACTGATAAATGAATGGATAAAGATGTGGGGGGGGTGTGTGTGCACATGCGCGTGTGTGTAAATGGAATATTACTCAGCCATAAAAGAGAATCAGATCTCACCACCTGTGACAACGTGGATAGACCTAGAAGGTATTATACTATGCGAAATAAGTCAGAGAAAGGGAAATACCATATGATCTTATTACATGTGGAATCTCAAAACACAAATGACCAAACAAAGAGAAACAGATTCATAAATACAGAGAGCAAACTGGTAGCTGCCAGAGGAGGGGAGGGTGGGGGGATGGGTGAAATAGGTGAAGGGGATTAAGAGGTACAAACTTCTGGTTATAAAATAAGTAAGTTGTGAGGGTGAAAATTACCACAGAGGGAATTTAGTCAATAATATCATAATAACTTCGTATGGTGACAGATGGTAACTAAACTTATTGTGGTGGGCATTTTGCAATGTATGTAATTGTCTAAATACCATGTTGTACACCTGAAACTAATATAATATTGTATGTCAACTTTATTTCAATTAAAAATAAAAAATAAATCAATTTAAAAAAGAATGTACCAATACATGCAAAGCACTTAGAACACACGTGGCATTTAGCAGGTGTTCAGTAAATAGAAACAAAAACTACCCAACTCAAATCTCTATCACTTGATATTCATCCAGTCATTTTTATTACAGACGTAAAAAAAATTCTGAGGTCTTTATTAACACATATAGCAACAAAAATCATTTCACAACTCAAGATATTTCTGAGTTAGACTCTACATGCAGGACCTCCGTCTACTCAGCTCCACAGAAATATCCTCTTTTGCTAATTCAGCACAACGGGAATATGTTTTTGGTAACAAGACAACTCCTATGCCCTCTCACCTCGTGAATCTTTTTTGCTGTAGGTCTGGATTAAGCATTACAACCCTTCAGTGAAAAGAAAATGGAACAGTGTGCTTTCCCTTTCAACTTCTTTTCCCTTAAAACCTCTCCGAATGACTCCCTGTCATCCCTATGGGAACATCAAATTCCTGGCAAATTAAGAAAAAAGTGTTATGTTTGTGGCTCCTTATTATCTGGCCAAATTGGTTTTAATTTTCTGTTGGCAAGAGTAGTGGTCTCAAGAGATTGCACAACTTGCTGTGTGTGAGCTGAATCCAGAATTGGGGGGGGGGGGGCACTGGTTTTCTTCTTGGAGGTTTCAGCACTCAGGATATCATTCGGAGAGAACAAACAATTCAGCATTTGTCTTGGCGAAGGCAGAATAGCAATGTGAGGGAAATCGTCCGCTTCAGACAGACCCCAAGCTGAACGCAAGATGAGCCCATCTCACAAACACACACATGGAGTGCTGTCCACAGATGGTGGTCCTGTGTAGGACTGCTTCCTGCTGGGCTGCTAGGCCTCAGCAGGCAGACATCCCTCCACCTTTCCGGGCAGGCCAGCATTTGGAAGGAGAAAGAGGCAGAATGGTGTGGAAACCCTTACAACATCCTAAGATTCAGTTCTGCTCGAGCCTGTCTCGCAGCAATTTGCAAACCAAAACATCTTCCCCAGAAGGGGACTCTCGTACTGCCTGGATTTTAAGTTCCCTGAATTGCTTGGTATAACTACTAAGCAATCAATATGCCCTGAGCTGAGATGTGGAAACATAAAGCCGTGAAGAATGCCGCCCGCATATTTCTTTCTGGAGGCGATGTCAGAGTCCGGCTCTACCCAGGCACTCTTCTGCCTCACATCTGTATTCTGTGTCCCTCTTGCACAAAGCCAGCTGTGTCGTGCTCTGCAAACCGGATCACCCTCACAGGCGCATCAGACCCACCTTCAGTGAGGTGGTGCTCTTCGAAAACATAAGCGCTTCTCATCTGGAGTGCCGTCGCTCAAGTTTACTGATCTGTAGGCAGAAACTGGATGGGTTTGGCCATCGCCAAAAAATGTGAACAGAGATGTTCATTTTTAAGTGTATCTGATCGTTCTCTGATGGGGCTGTCACCAGAGGGTCCATTTTGAGCTTGTTCTTTGAAAGCCATAGCAGCCTCAGCAGTCCCTCTTTGCTCTCTTCTGCCTCCCAAGATGGCAGAAAAGCGATTTGGAGCTTATCATGCCGTTTCCCCTGGACCACAGCCCCGGCGGGCTACTGAACAGAAATTCTTCATCTAGCCAGGCTAATTTACAAACATTGTGTTAGCCTCTGCCTGAGGTCTTGTTTTCATCAGAACTTCTAGAAACCTACATTGTTTGCATCCAAGGTTTCATGTCCCTCTGCATTAAGAATGTCTTAATTTTTTTCCTCATTAATATTAAACATGGTTAATCTATTTCCAAAGAAGGGTAAGATCTAAGACTGTTCAGGCGTGGTTATTTAGTTCTTGAGCTCTGAGGCACAAACACTTGCAGGATGTTGACCCTAATGTGTCCCTGTTCAGAGAGGGGCTCTTAGCTGGGAAATCAGGCTTCTCTGACCTAGGATACCTTCCTGACAGAGATGCAAAGATACCAGCCTGGGCTTCAAAATGCTGCTCTCATCATTACATCACAACATCTAGCTTACCTGTCAGGGTGCTTTGGTACCTGTCAGTTAAAGGAATAAGGTATTTCAGACCATTCTAGTCCAAAGTTATTAAGATATTCTTACCCTAAAAAAAGATGCACTTTGGGGGTTGGCATCATGGTTGGTATCTGTACTTAAAGATTTAACAACACAGAAGACAACTGCTTATGGTTTGATCTTCTGGTAAAATTCCTCGACATTTTCCGAGTCCTGGGTCTCCAATAGGTTTCATAAAGGGTTGTAGTTCAGACAATTGTGGCACAGTTTCCAACAAAGAAAAACTGGTTCAATTCTATATGCACACTTCTATTTCTTTCATATGGAGGTTATGTCTCTTTTGCTTTGCTATGAAATGAAATGACTTCTGCACAATATTGCACCTGGAAGCTTAAGAAGCTAATAACCTGTTTCCATACCCGTGTGTTTTAGAATGATGAGCCAAGCAATGGATAAAATTGGACCAACTGCAGACCCGTTTCCAAATAATAAGCAATGTTTTACAAATTGTCTTCTAGAAGGAACCAAGCCCAAGGAGAATGTATTCAGAGCCTACATGAGAAGGTAGATCTTGAGTTTTGTATATTTTAAGACGTGTGAATGTTTTAAAGAGCAGATGGTTTTACTGTAAGATGATGTGAATCCGGGCTGGGCTGGAGAGAGAGTTGCAGGGTTGAAGCATCTAACATCCAATCTTTTCGCATAAAAACAAGTTCCAAAAATTAAGCCATTTGCGAATTTCACTCAGTGTTTGAGAGATTTACCGAAAAAAAAAAAAATCAACCAAGGGGCTTGTTTCTTCTTTCATTTTTTTTCTCCCTTTGTAATCTCTCTAAGGACAAGAACAAGATAGACACAGATGCGAGCAGACAGTGAGGAAGTCACTTGTGTTCTTTCTCTTGCTTCAGGTGCTTCTAAAGGGACATTTCGGAGTTAGCCTACTGATGCCAAGGTGGGCTCCAGCCAGAGTTGGACGTCTTGGTCATATAAGCTGCCTGCTGGGAAGCTCGCTTGTAATAGGTGCTTTTCTTTTACTGAAGCCATTGTTCCTCCCTCCCCCAACCCCTTGGCTGCATCCCTTCAGGGGATTTCCAAGCAATTTGAAGACTAACAAGAGCTGAAGGACTGCATAAAAGAATAAAGTTCTCAACAGAGGAAGAGAGGAAAAACAATCCCGTGCTCCTCCAAATTCAGACTCTTAGACCCTAATTCTGGCTCTGACAATGACTTGCTGTGGAAACCAAGCAAAGGAACTCAATTTCTTTCTGCTCCCTTTCTAATCTGAGAACAAGGGCTAAACTGGCTCAGAAGTTCCATCAAATACTGTGTGACTAATAAATGGTGCTTTGACATTTGATGTTACTTCCAGAGTATTAATCATGAGCCTGGATTTAAATGGTGTGCAAAGGGATGAAGCTGAGGACTTGTACCCAGGGACAGTTTAGGAAAAGGCACTGTGTGTGGAAAGCAAATCCAGAGTGTGCCTCCTGAATAGGATTGCTGTATATAATATAGGATACCTGGTTAAATTAGAATTTCACGTAATGACAAATATTTTCTTAGTACCAGTATGTCCCAAATATTGGTGGAACATACTTATCCTAAGAATTACTAATTCTAGAAATTATTTGGTGTTCATCTGGAATTCAAATTTAACTGGGTTTTGTTTTTTTTTTTTAAAGATTTTATTTATTTATTTGACAGAGAGAGACACAGCGAGAGAGGGAACACAAGCAGGGGGAGTGAGAGAGGGAGAAGCAGGCTCCACGCCGAGCAGGGAGCCCGACGCGGGACTCGATCCCAGGACCTTGGGATCATGACCTGAGCCGAAGGCAGACGCTCAACGACTGAGCCACCCAGGCGCCCCTTAACTGGGTTTTTTATTTGCTAAATCTGTCAGGCAAAATCTACAACAGCGGTTTGGCCCAAAGTGTAGGAGGAGGAAGATGACAGAGACCAGGGGCTCTCCAATCAGAGGATTATTCTAAGTTGAGAAGTCTGAAGTCAGGGTTGGGGATGAGTTTCTAGGACAATTAGGACAATTCAGGCCTTCGTGTATCTGTTGTGCTTCAGAGTGTCAGATTCTGCCCTTCAGTCTCCCTCCCACCTCCACCCGGCCCTTTCTTTTTCACCCAGGGAACGGATTAAAGGGAATTTCTTCTTGGAGGAATTGTCAACTCATTCATCATTCCTCAAATATTCACTGAGTACCTATCATGTGTTAAATACCATGTTGGTTTCTGAGGAGTAGGAAGAGATGAGTGCAGCCTCTGCCTTCATACAGCACCCGGTCAGGGGGGACCACGGTAAATTTTCCCTTGCCGCTGGAACTCTAAATCTGTCTCCCGGATTCAAAACCCCAACCCACCCCTTTTTCTCTTACTGCAATTAGATACCCGCTGGGTACAAATTAGATTCCAGAGGTAGAACAGAAATAAACAAAACGTAGTTCTTGAGTATAAGAATCTAATGGCAAAATGAAACCCTTATGCCAGCAATTATTTTAAAAAGGGGAATATGATCAGAACAATAGATAGGATGGAGTGGGGGAGGGGTTAGAGGAGACCTCACATCAGTTTGGGGGCATAGGAAGGTTTCTTAGAGGAATCTGAGATGGGCTTAAGGAATGCTGAGATATTCCCCCATCACTCTGGATTTAGAATCTTATAATCATGGCATCTTAAAAGAAGTATCCTTGAAAGTCTATATATCCCCCAATTTTTTCTATAGCTTCCTTAATGAGGGTCATTTTCCTCTTGTTTGAAATCTCCTATCTTCCTAAGAAGTTCATTCCATCGTTGGAAAATTGTTAGAAATAGAGATTCAAAAAAGCTGAGTTGAAATCTGCTGTCTCTAAGATTCTTTCATTGATTCTACCTCTGCTGTCTGCCCTACTTACGACTTTCATCAAATACTTGGATGAAGATGTAGAACATAAGCTTACCAGGTTTTCCCATGATAGAAGCATAGGAGTGCTAATAAACACTACAAATGACACAGAGAAAATTCTAAGCTAGTAAGGTGAGATGTAATATGAATACATGCAAAATCCTGCATTTAGATTCAAAAACATCAATTAGAGAATAGACGAAAACTGGCTTGGTAGGAACTCCTATGAAAAAGACCTAAGGGTTTAAATTAATTCTTAACTTAATGTGAGCCAACAATGTGATGTGACTGCTAAAAAAGCTAATCATCTTGAACTGCACAGCTAGAACAGTGTCAAGATCACGGAACCTAATAGCCCCAATATAACCTGCCTTCGTCAGATTATATTTATATGGTGTATTCAATTTTGCATGCTTCATTTTAAGAGGCTAATGGACACAAACACTATTGCCATCACACCTCGCAGGGAGGACCCATATGTCACAAACATCAGTACAGAAATACTTTTCACCCCCCTTTGGGTCCCCTAAAATTTTTTGAAAGTTTAGAAGTGATTGATCAAATGGGAATTTGGGAAAAGGGACACACGTGTGAAAACAGGACCCTCCCCCAATGCTTCCCACCCTGAAGATGGAGGCTGTTGGACCAAGAACATGATGGGGTAGTAGGTAGGAGAGGGGTTATTGGTTAGAAGAAAATGATAGTCTCTCTCTGGAAGCTGAAGAAAGAGCCAGGCTGCTCTGTTTAATGTTGGCCACTCCAAATTGCCCAAGGCAGGCGTCCAGGTGACTGGGCTTCCCAGCTGACTGCACTCCTGTGAAGAGTAATTTTGGGAAGAAGCACTTAGAACTGCCTCAGATGGAAAGGCGAGGCCATGGTGTTAGCGAATTAACCTGCTGGGCTCCCTGTGGTGCAGGGGACTGGGGTGACCAGGACTCACTTCCATCTTGCCCCTGTCCCAGCAGATCTGTGCCACCATTTAGGAGAGAGCATGACTTTTTCAGTCTTTGGTTTTCAAGGGTGAGTCCCCTCTGGCCGTGGAACACTGGGTCGGAACATGAGTTGACATGAGCAAAGTGTGACTTAGAACTTATAAATATTTAGACATAAGGTAAGTGGTCTCCATTTAATTTGTTTACTCAGCCTATAAATGTTAGGATACAGGGGAGACATTACAATGCCTCTAGTTTAGAGGAAGAACATTCCTTCTTTTTTTTTTTTTTTTTTTTAAAGATTTTATTTATTAATTTGAGACAGAGAGAATGAGAGACAGAGAGCATGAGAGGGAGGAGGGTCAGAGGGAGAAGCAGACTCCCCGCCGAGTAGGGAGCCCGATGCGGGACTTGATCCAGGGACTCCAGGATCATGACCTGAGCCGAAGGCAGTCGCTTAACCAACTGAGCCACCCAGGCGCCCGGAAGAACATTCCTTCTATTACGGTTCTAGTAATTTCCTCAAACAGGAGACCTGACCATTTGCATCCCTCACCACTGCCCACCTTTTTTTGTTTTAACAATCTATGTAAAAGAGATTCTATGTCTATGTAAAATACCTAGTACAGAGGCTGACACACAGTAAGTGCTCAATAAATGTTCGCGTATTTTTCCCCTTTGCATTCTTCTTCCCCCCTTCCAAGCACAACTGGAGACAGCACATTTTCACGAGCTTCACCTTGACCTGAGCTTTGAGATCCTATTCATGCTGGATCCTTCTATATTTGAGCTGAGTTCTGAGCCCTTTTTCCATTTTTGTATGTGTCTTTTAAAAACAAGGACTCGCCCCCAAATTCACTGATAGTCACAATGTTTTCTACAGATGTTTTTTCTTTTCTTTCTCTTCTAGTGTGTGTGTGTGTGTGTGTGTGAGAGAGAGAGAGAGAGAGAGAGAGAGATCAAGCATGTGCAAATTCAGGCAGGATTTTCTTTCCTTGAATCCTCCACTCTTTGTGAGACCTATTATTCCCTTTTAGGGTATCTAGTCCTGAGTGTCATTATAAAACTTTTATGCCTACATTTTCCTTAGCCATTTGAAAACAAAAGATCAGTGCACATATTTGAGAATGTTTCCATTTTCCTTTGTATCAGTGTGCTTTGATTTTAGGTTGCAGAAATCGAGTCTGAAGCAACAGAAAAGGGTTTATTGAAAGGATGCTGGGGGGCGCTCACAAACTTAAAGGAGAAAGGACACCCTAGGTGTCGGGAAGGGCGGTGGTCAGGCCAGCTCTAGGAATTTGGGAAAGGCTTGCCTAGTGAGTGACTCAGCGTCAACTGCCTGCCTATGTGGCTTTGCTCTACACTCATGTCCTGGCAGTGAGACTGGCCAGTGTGATCAGGGGCTGTGAAGACCTGTGATCAGCAGCCCCAGTAGAACTCCAGGGGCTTGGATAGCACAGGTGCCTAAAGGAAGGAAAGCCAGTGAGAAAAGTCTACACATATCCACCCCGTTTTCTTGACGATGTTTGAAACTACTGTAGAGGTATCCTTCATTTCCATATTTTTGAATTGTTCATATCAAAGGCTAGAAAAATAATGTCTTTCATGACTGCCTGTTATCTGCTCTAAACTCTGCCTGCTCGAATCTTCAAGACTTAAGGTGAGCAATAGGGAGCAGGGGGAAGAACAGGTTTATGTGGGGTGGGAAAGATGGTGAGTTTGATTTCGGATTTGTCGTTTGAAGTGCCACTGGGACAGATGGGTAGTGCTGCCTAACGCCCAGCTGGAAATATGGGTTTTGAGCTTATAATAAAAATCAGGACAAAGAATATAGATTTGGAAATTACTATTCATTTGATATTTTAATTAGATATTCAGGGAGCAATTATTAACCCCCTACTACATACCCAATGGTTTTGAGAGCTAGATTCACAAAATTGAATAATTTAAGAGAGTGATTCTTAAGAAGCTTATAATCTTTAGGAGACAATGGGCAAGTAAATCAGTAACAGTGATATAATACCCATTAGGGCAATGTTTGAGGTTTACCCGGGGTGCCAGGGAAATACAAAGAAAGGGCACTGAAAGTGGTTCCAGATCCTTTGCCTGGCTGTCACTTGCATGAATAGGGTATCTTCCTATTCCTGACTCTGCTTCGGTCATTAGAATGTATTCCTGCCCTAGACCCATTATGTGCTCCTGCTTGGTTAGACCTACCCCATTGCAGCCCCTGGACTGGTCTGTACCATCTGTAGCCTCCTGTGGTCCTACCATTGACAACAGAATACTGT